CTTCATGAGAGGATTTTTTGGTGGCGATAATTTGTATCTATCAAATAAATTGATCGTTGGCTAGCTATATTTGATAAGATACTAAGTCACATGTGATGATAGATCTAGACGTATAAGTCATAGACATAATACCATTAAGCAGTTGATCTCAATGGTGTAAACTCGTGGTACCTTTAAAAGAGATTTACTAAGAGAGATCAAGAAGACTACATATCGAAGGGAATGAGATTGAAGCCTATTACGTTAGAGTTCTTGTAACGGTAACCTTACCTTGTTGACTGGAGATCCCAAGATCTTGGTTCAAAGGGACAACTAAGTTATGAAGATTCTGCGAAACACTTAGGAAAATAGCTTCCTAACTCATTCCTATAATATTAAAGTACTTTTTGCAGAGTTGTAAGATGTTAAGATAATATTTTAATGATTCTTATATCTTGATTAAGTCAAGTGGAGTAGGGCAGAATACTCTTAATAGGAGGTCAACTATGTGAGTGTGAAGTGTGGCAGCTTCAATGAGAATTATTCAAGGTTTAAATTCTCTAAACACTCGCAGAACCAAGAAAGGTTCGAGGCCAAAATGAACCAAGTCATGAGAACCATGAACGGTTTAGGGAAAACATTGTGTGAGTATCGTTGTCTTGACTTACACTAAAAGCTGAATGGTTCAAGACATCACGTTCACCAATTAGTCGAGTAAGTCCGATGGTATTTCACTAAAGAAGTTCAAGGCCAGAAGCTACCTTCCCTGATGCAGTGTTTTTTTGCACCATCTCTACATTGTATCATATCATTTCATTTGCATATGCGTACCCAATTTCCATTCATGTGGGAGATTGTAGGAATTGGTTCAAATAATTAACCAAAAATTAGAAAATGAAAAGGTGTGTAAAAGTGGAAAATGAAAAAGTATGACTATGTGTCAATTTCGACCAAATATTCGGACTTGATCCGATGGTCAAATTACAAAAGTAATAGACCAACTTATTCTACTCGTCGAGTAGATCGTCATGGTATATTTGAAATCTCGAAACCAATTCCGAATGAATGAGAAATTGCGGACCAAAGTTGGAAGAAATGAAGTGTTGCAACTTTTCGAAAGGATTCAGGTTTTGGCCAAGTGTTGCAACTTTTCGAAAGGGTGCATGTTTTGGCCCACACTATTTCATTTGCATCATTTCTACATCTATAAATAGGACCCTATAGACATTGTTTTGGGTGCACCAATTGCATTGAGCATACATTCTCCTCTTGCAATTCTCTCCTTTTTAATTCCATAGCATTTTCATGCATTTCCTTGGTAGAGAGGGAATTCCGTTCGAGTTCGTTGGTCGAAGTCATTTGGAGTGCTCCTATAGCTTGACGTGGTCGTTTTATCTTGGGAGATGATTGTAAAAAAACCGTTAACACCGATGCAGGGCAAATTCATCTTAAGGACGAAGTGCCAAACACTTGCATCGACCAAAAATTCATCACTTGCATTTTTCTTCCTTCATTTTCTGATTTCTCTTAATTATGATTTGATTTCAGAAACTAATTAACATTATTTACATGTTTGTTCTGCGAGGTTTGATTCAAAAGAATAACTTGCTTTCGTTTAAGAATCGAAAAAGATGAATCCATATTCATGCATTCGAATTCAGTAACTATTATTGTTTTACTTCTCAAATTCTATTTTGGTAAGTCAAAATTATGTTTAGATTTCACGCAAATAAACGTATATATCACCATTATCGTTTTTCAATAATGTCTGTTTTTTTTCTTTGAAATTTTGATATAATATAGAGTATTCTCTCTTGAACGTGTATAAACAATTTAAACACGCATCTCCTTGGTTTTTAGTTTATACAATATTTTGAATCATTTTAGATATTTTTATCAACTACGCAAAGTCTAGTTTTTTGTCTATATTTTCTTGGAGTCTATTTTAATAAAATAGCACTATACTTATTTTGCATGATTCAATGATCATATTTGTTAAAATAAATTTAGTTGGTAACAAATTTCATTTTATTAAAAAGATTGACTAGTTAGGAAAAAAAAAAATCATTTTTCATGTTTTGTCTTGTTAATTTTATTGAATGCTTTATTATATTTTGCCAGGTATGAGGATGGTTACTGCCAGGTAGTGAACAATACGTGTAATGTATTTAATTTGTTGAACTGTTTTCTTACATCCAAACACGAAAAAATTCAAAGTTTTCCCCCTTTTTTCCTTGAAGAAATTGTATTTGGGGAGTTTTAGTTTTATACTTGGTTCAATATTTGGTCTCGTTTTATTTTTCTTAACGTTTTAATTCTCGGCGTTCACTTTTCTCCTATTCCTTAATCGCTAGAGTCGAGTTCTGTGCGAAATTGTGGTTAATAATTCGTGTGTCTTGTTAGTGACACGACTCTAGATAGTAAAATTTGGGAGTGAAATTCTGAGTCTAGAAAATCAGGAAAATTAAATGAAAACTCTAATGCTAGTTTTAAGTATCGAGCAAAAAGGGTAAATGCAACTCGCCCTATTTTCCAAAAAAATTGTTCTTTAGAAATATTTTACATGGAAATAAAAGGAGTAGATAGGGGAAACATTAGGTCAGACTATCCTTTATGATAAGATTTAAGTGTCCTTGGCAATGGCTCCGTGAATATGATGTTGATAAGATCTAGTTCTCTTGGCCCCGTTTGTCTGTTTCTCTCATTTCATACCAAGTCATTCCTCATTTAACATTTATTCGGACAATCTAATCGTTGATTATTAAAAACTTTAATTCTATATTTATTAAAAACAATAAAATCACGGAAAGAAAATAGACACAAGAACACGTAAAAATTTATAAAGGTTCGCCTCAAGATATATATAGAGGTTGATCTTCATACTAGCTCTGCACAACGACAATAATTAAACTTCACAATTTAATACTAATTAACCAGAAACTCCAAGTTTGAAACACAATCTTCAATATATAAAATATTATTGATTTGTAAATGAATGTGGTTTTTTAGAGGCGTAAACTTGGTTGAATTGGGTCGAGCGGACAAAAATGTCTCTAGTTTTAGCAGTTTATCCACTTTATACCTCTAGTATTTGGAGTCATATTTTTACTTAAAATATCAGCAATTATAAATGAATAAAGTGATATATTGCGTGAGTAGAAGAAATAAATATTGGAACACAAAGTCAATAAGTACTTTATATATGCTGCGTAGTAATTAATTAGGCTCAGAAAAAATTCATGCTCTTCTTTATGAATTTCAACTACCTAAAGCGTTAGGGCCCTTCATTTAGTACTGGTATGATACTTCCTGCAATATTTAAATGAAGCTTCTTCCCAATGTATTTCACATAGACAAACACTGAACAAACTTCAATGTTAGCTTCCATGGCGAAATATCAGTTGTTAATTGCTCTCTTCTTCACTGTGGCTCTTGCAAAGATTGAGCTCTCCACTAGCCATGTCCTCAAGGGATCAGTCACTTGCCTGGATTGTAATACCCACTATGATCTCTCAGGTACTTTTTAGCCTGAATTCAATTTTTATTTTTTTAAATCTGATATGTATAGTAGAATCTTGAATATTCTAAGACTTTATTTCTACGCTCACTTTATCCAAAAGCTTTATTGGAGGGTGATACGTTTATTTGTTTAAATCTTTAGTTGAGCTTAAGATCGACATTTTTAATTATTGTACTCAACAGTAAGTGAAAGTTGCTTTTAAACACCAAATATTCTGTTAATGTGCTTCACAAGGATAGGTCAAGCTAGGGTTGTAAGCAAAAATTGTAAAATCGAACTGAAATCGTATTTTTGAAACCGTCGGTTTGGTGCCACGTGGACCCGGTCAACGAAATGGTTTTGAACCAAACCAAACCGGTCAAAATGGTTTGGTTTAGGTTTGAGAATTTTAATTGTGGTTTAAAATCAAATCGGACCGACAAAAAATATATAAAAATAAAAAAAATGAAAAAAATAAATTTTTTTGAAAATTCATCCAAATATATAAAATTCAATAGTTTTGTCATTTGTAGGTATTTTTGTCAATTTCTAATTTTCTAATACATGTATATTATTATTACCTAATAATCCTAATTTATATCTAATAATCTCAAAACTAACATAATCTATCAAAAGTCATTTTCCTCTTCAAAATTCAGATGAACTCCAGCCAACACCCGACAAAGTCTTGAGCCACCAACACCACACATACTTTTTCTTCAGATTTTTTACGCCTCTTCAAAGTTGAATTATAGTCCATTACACCAAATCAGAGACATAGATTATAAGCCTTCGGTGATAATATTTACTACAAATAAAGTTTCAAATCAATAATTTTTTTGAGCAAATTGAGGTAAGAATTTGAAATTAAATGCATTTCATAACAACATACAAATGTAAGCTTGTGTAATTGTTATGTTTAGATATTATAAATAACTGTTTTATTATTGTGATTGATTATTCTCTTTGTCTAATCAATAACATTTTTTCAAATATGATGTTCACGAGGTCTTGTTGGATTGATGTTTTTTAGGTTTTATATCTCGTTTAATAGACTTGTATTGTAACATTATCACAACATCATTAGCCTAAAAAATGTGAACAAAAATGGAAAAAAAAAACTATATTTTAGTTTATTGTGGTTTCATTTTGATTTAGTAAATATTTAAAGTTATAGTAGATATATTTAGCCCTTGTTCGACCTATATTTTTCATGTTATCATAATGAGAAAATTGATTGTTGAAAAGGAGGCTGGGTCCCACGCATGAAACAACAGGTCAACAAATATGGTCTAAATTTTCATTTTTTTTGGTCCCAAAAATTTAGTTGAAACAAGGCTTAGATTGTTTTAGATTTATTGTTAGTAGAATATAAATTTATATTGAATTCAATGTATTAATGTCATAAAAGTAGACAGAGAAAAAAATATACGACGAAATCGACGGTTTTAAACCGGACCAAATCGTTAGGTTTAGGTTTGAGTTTTTTTCAAACCGTTCAAAATGGTTTGGTTTAGGTTTGAGTTTTTCTCAAACCGGTTTAAACGGTTTGATTTGAAAATTTGTCAAAAATCGGTAAAATCGGACTGCTTACACCCCTAAGTCAAGCTTTAAATTCCTATGTTTGGCCAAGCTGTAAGTTGCTATGTTTGGTCTTTTTATACTCTAGATTGAACTAGTTTTTATTGGGTCAAGGTCTCAAGTAAAAAGTTGAGCAACTAGATTAATGTACTTTTAAGTAAATTTTTTAAATGAGCACGGCTCGCTGACAGACAGACAGGAAGTTAGGACTGGATACTGCACATTTTACTTTAGGTGGAAATCTTGAAATGGGGAAGAGTAAGAAGCAAACAGTTGTCGCATTGTCGAATGCAGAAGACGAGTACAGAGTAATGACCAGAATTACGATCTTTAGCTCTGAAACTGAACCATTTCCTTGTATCTCAAAAAAACTTCCAAAATATATATAAGAAGCAGATCATAATAGAGAAAAGCTTGCGTCCATTGTATTGCCACGTCACGTAACCGATGACTGCCCCATACATTCTCTATTTTACTTTATTTTCTTTCTTTCTGTTTCAGGCATTCAGGTGCTGGTGAAATGTGCCAATGTGAAAAAATTGGCTGCAGCATACACGGAAGAAGATGGCACTTTTGAGATCAAACTTCCCTCAGGCTCCTCAGCTTCACCCAACTGTTTGGCCAAGATCATGGGAGGTCCACACCAGCTTTACACTCCAAGAAAAAATTCTGTGTCCACAATTGATAAAGCAGATGGATCTGGCTACTACACTATACACAAATCTCTCAACTTCTACAAATCATGCCCATTGGCCTTAAAGGACCAGGGAAAATGTGTAGCAACCGCAAATGAGGATTTTGGTGCATCCAAAACAGTGGATTTGCCTCTGCCTAGTGAATGGGGATTTGCACCAACTAGCTATTATTTTCCTTTTCTTCCTATAATAGGGATTCCTTAATTAATGAGTTATATTTAATAAGCTGTTTGTTGTATCGAGAACTGCACTGTTAAGTACAGGCAATCAAGACTGGAAGGTCACTATCAATATATATAAATCTATATATATATATATATATATATATGGGTAGACAGACTGCTTTGTGTGGATAGAATGTATTAAGCTATAAATAAAGTGTTTTGCCATCTAGCTAGCTAGATATTATCATATCTTTGATTAATTTTTTCTCCTGCTCATTTTTCTTGATATTTTATCATCCTAGGCAAGATTTGTCACTAAGGATATGTTTTATAGACTAATTTTTTCCATGAAAAATGGAAAATAAATTCCAACTTTCACTTTTGACCTGTTTGATTGACAAAATTTTATAGAGAATTGATTTTCCCACTTTGACCGTCACGTCAATATTTTCTTGCTTTTCATGACGTTTCAATTCCCACTACCAAAATGGTGGGAATTGATTTTTCATGTTTTCTTTTTTAATTATTTTATTTTACTTTTTTTGTTGCAATTGAAACAAATTTTAAGAATAATTGTAAAAGAGGATATCCCATAAATTGACAATTTTCATGTAAAATAAAACCAAACGAACGCTAAAAGATAGATGATTTTTGAATATTTTTGGTTTTCTTGGAATTTTTTTTTTTTTTTTGCAATGGAAACAACTTCGTGGAACAATTGTAAAATATGATATCTCTTAAATTGACAATTTTCAATACAAAAAGACACTTATTTCAATATTTTTTAAGTGAAAATTATACCAATCAAACACAATAATTGACAATTCTCAATAAAATAATTTTTAGGCAATTCAATTTTTTGAAATTTGTTTTCTTTCCACTCAAATTTCATATTTACAATCAAACGGACTTTAATGTTTTGAATTGCAGTCTTTGTACTGCTGTCTCTAATAACTTGGACTAAAAGGATAAAACCCCCTCTCCGGGCTTGGGGACAAGGGTGAAAGCAGGGGCGCCATGTTGGAGAGGTGCCTGTCAGGGCAGACACCCCTCCAATAGCGTCCTTGTTTTCACCTCTGTCCCCAAGCTGGGGCAGGGTGCACGCTCCGGACTAAAATTACTACTATCTGTCCAATCCATTATGTGGAAATTACATTAGGTGTCAACTTTTGGCTTTTCATTTACAAAAATGTCACTTTTTTAAAGTCATTGCAAGATTGTCAATTTTTGACAATTTTGCCCCTCTAAATAATTCAAAATACCCTTCACATCCTTCATTAAATATAGATTTGACTAGATGAAAAAATAGTACAAAAAATTTTAAAACATCACATCTCTCATCTCACTACTCAATTGTTGACAATTTATCTTCTAATTAATGAAAAAATTGATGGAGATTTTCATTTTCCTCTCCAACCGACTCTAGCTCTCCCTTCTTCTAACTTCTTGTTTCTTTGCTCCGTCCGGACCGACGTCGACGATGGCCATTCCCTTAGGTAGTTAGGTTGCTTCTCTTCTTCTTCTCTTTCCTTTACTTTTCACTCTTTCACAAATCAAAACTTGTCGGGCCTTTTTTTCAACCCTAACCGCGCTGCAACTGTGCCACGTCCGCCATTTGTGTGATAGTGTCTCACTCGCACCTTTGGCCAGCTAAAGATTGTTTGTCTAGCTCTCCAACTTTCTTTAAATCTACAGAATCAAAAGGAAAAGCAAAAATGGTGATGTCCAAATTGGGTTTTTGTTCATGTGTGATATTTTAGTTTTTTACATAATTGATTTTAGATATGTGGTATGTTTGCATGTGTATGCTTTTGTTTTTCAAATTTTGATTTGTTTCTGAATTTTTAGATGTGCACATTTTGCGATATATAATGGCCATAGAGGTTGGTTAGCTGTAAAGTACACTGAGAAGCATCTTCAAGTTAATGTTCTTTCAACGGGCTTATCACATGAGCTGGTCTGTTTGTTTGAGAATTTAGTGTTGTAATTATTGCTCAAATTTTTATTTTAGAAAATCGCTATATTTTACATTCCATTTTGTAATTGTCCTTTCATGGTTTGGCGTTTGATGAAAATTTTCAGTAGGATGTTAAGTGTTCAAAGAAGTCAGTTTGATATAATTGCCCCAACATTATAATCCAAGTAGTGTATTTTATGTACTCCGGTCCAACTATCAAGAATAACAGAGACAATCTGTCGGGTACGACATATGAACTGTCGGGTTGTAATACAGTATGTCGTAAATGGATTCGTATTTTGCTTGTAAAGTTGAACATGTATTTCTTTGTCTGTAAACGAATCAGAAATGGTAATGACGATATAATTTGAATATAATAATGTAAGTCAATAATTTGATGGGGAACACCGAAGGTTGAGCGGATGTTACGAAATGGTGTTTATCATGCACTGTCAATTGAGTCTACTATTTACAATGTTGCAAATTAGAATTTATTTGGTGGGGAGTGAAAAAAACATTTTTAAGTGGATAAGAAAAAGATACAAGGTTTTGCTTCCTCTCTTCAAGTATTTTGAACGACCTTAGAGTTGGAGGATTAATTATATTATATCAAAGATATTGTGGTATAAAATTTTCCTTATGTTTATTATTCTTTATTTCTTCTGCAGTTTACCATTTACGTTAACCTGATCTTTAATGCTGTGCACGTTTTCGTCACCTGTCGGGAATTAATAAAACATCTGTCGGGACTGACAGTTGAATATGTCGGGATGTTGTGCAATTGAAAAATGGAATTGGTGCATTTTATAAGTTTCTCGCTTTCGAAAAATGAGAGAATTGGTACATTTTATAAGTTTCTCGCTTTGGAAAAAATGGAAATTATAAGTTTGACCAATGCAGATGTCTTAGTTTATAAATGAAAATTATAGAGATTGTAAGTTTATCATTTTTTGCAAATTATAAGTCTGACTAATACAAGTACACTTAGATATTCAAGGCATCACACCAATTGTCTATCAAATTAAATTTGAGATGTGATGAAAATAAGTTGGTAGTTGGGAACTAATTGACCTTAATTAACCATCCTCTTTGGCCAATTTTAAATACTAGTGCAGGATTTCATGTTCATAAACTACCCTTTGAAAGACTAGAGACGTTGTTGTGAGACTCCCGTATTGAAACAGTTAGTTGATACGAGACAATGAGTTCATCCACTTCCAGCAATGAACCATTCAACTCAATATGCATCCACTGATACTGGGTTCATCCGCTGAATTTTCCATCGTTTTATTCTCAGACGACGAGGAGGTAAGCGTTGAGCACCATGAATCTCAAATTATTACTAATACCTGAAATGTTGAGATTACAGTGATAAGAATTTAAAATCAATATGTTGGCATTTAATAACTTGAAAGTGGCACTGCATAATACGTAAATCCGTACAATAGCAAAATGTCAAATCAAGGGTTTCTATCGTTTTGAAGTGTCCAAATTGACAGTAAAACTGTATATCCTGATAGTTTGTAAATGTCGGGTTCGACATTTCAAACGTCTAACCCGACGGTTTGTAAATGTCAAACTCGACTGTTAAACTATCGAAAATGTCGGGAAGCAGACGGCAGCGGGTAGAACTCAGGCTTCTTCAGCACAGCACAGCACAACACATTAAGTGTGGTCATTACTATTGAGTTGCCAAATGACAAAATGAATATGTCAGATTGGCCTTGTCATTAAAAAGACATTTAATGAAAACAATATTTGGTTTGATTGGAAGAAATTACTCAAAACCTTAATGGTGATAATAATATTTTGTGAAGGACTCCAAAACAAAAAATCAATGCATAATAGTTTCAAAAATTTCAAATAAGTATGCTCATGTTGTATTTAACATTTACAAAACAAAAAGTTATAAGAGTAAAATATAAATAATTTGTAATTACTAACTTCTCAAAATGGATCAAGAACGTAACAAAAATGTCTTCTTGATTAATGAAAATGAAGAAGATAGAGAAAAGTTAGGGTTTGTAATTTATGTTTTATTTTAAAATTTCTTTTACCCTTTTTTATTAACAAAAATTCATAATATTTAATAAAATACACATTTATCCATGTTTTCTCTACAAAAATTAAATCATCACATCAAATCAATACTTTTCCTTCAAATCAAGCATTAAATGCTACTAAAAATGTGTCATTAAGGGTAATATGGACTTTTTCACCCTAAAAAAGTGATATTTTTGCTCATATAAAGTGAAAATGACAAATTTTTTGAAACTTTCATTTTTCATGACATTTTTGTAAATTGCCCATCCATTATTTAGGAAAATCTAGAATAACACTTCTTCAAAGAAATAAATTTTTTAAACTTCGGTAATTAGGACTACAGTATAAAATTTTCAAAGAAATCTTACCACCAAGCGTAAAATTCTGTATCATATAATCTAAGAACTTTAGTATTTTGATTGGCCAATAGATTCACCTATTATTCTTTTCAAATTTACACAACCTATGTATCCCATTAAATAATAAATTTTAATTCTTGAGTTCGAAACACATTTAAAACGATCAATAGTGCATTGTGGTTGGTAAATAACAAGTGGATGTGAACTATTAATAGATGTTGCGGAAGTCGGAAGATTTGCCACCAATGGCTTCTCCGGGCTCAGTATGGATCCAATCAATCGACACCCTCAAGAAAACCCAACCTAAAACCTCCAACCACTCCGTCTCTTTGGTTGCTTTGGTTTTCCCACAAAGGACACACAATAGGAAGTATAAATTGTATAATCATAGCCGCTGAGCCACGAAGGCAGAAGGGAAGGAAGAAAATGAGAGATGCGAGTCACACAGAAAGGTAGCCTTTCTCACTCAAGGAAGGAGAAGCACAATAACACTCGGTCACCCAAAGCAACGAGGCAACATATATGAGAGAATATTAGGGTACGGTAATGGGCCAAGCCCAATATACGTAAATAAGTGGATTAGGTATATCACTAAGTGGGCCGACACTTATAAGCCGTCCAAGAGGAGGGTAAATGGGCTATGAACAGCAGTAATTAAATTAAGATCATGTTTGATATGTAACATTTTTCATTTTCAATGGAATTCAAATTCTATTTTTCACCATTTTGGCATGTTTGATAGCCAAAATTTTCATGGAAAATCTTTTCCATCTTTTCCCCCACATATGCATTTTCCATGAATTGGTGGAAAATCAATTCTCACCAGCTTTATTTATTTTTATTTTTTTCAACAATGGGAAGAAATTTTATCCACAATTGTAAAAAATTAT